GTTAATATGTAAATATGTTTATTAAAGGGAAAATATATTGAAGCACACACACACATATATAAATTATGTATATAGGAGCCCGGCGGACGGTGTGTGATTGAATGCATCATCGGCTTTTGCCTTTGACCATTAACCAGTCCAAGTTCAGTGGCTTCAATGTTGGGTTAAATGATGGGAAGCCATGTAGGCACAAGAAGCTTAACACACATACAAACATACACACAGATAAGTATACATGTGACTGTAAATAGAACTAAAATCGTTCGAAACTCAAAAATCGAATAAAGTAATTTGATGACAAGTCCTATAACCACTAGAAATGTAGAAAAATAAAACAATCAAGAACCTGGAGATCAACGACTCGAATGAAAGGAAGCAACATGAACACACACATGCTAATAAACACCGCAAACAAGTAAAAAACAAGACACATTTATGTAAGTGACTAAAATAAAAGCTCAACTTATGGCTATCGAACGGTCCGCCCGCAGAACGCGCACAAAGCAACAACTACAACTAGCAGCTAAATAGACCGACAAAGATGTAGCAACAAATCGTACGGTTGAGCGGGAAACAACGGCAACGCCGTGCTTGTGAGGTGGCGGACAAATAAACCCATCGCTAGATATAGAGTGCAGATAGCTTTGAACACCGTAAACCCCCACAACATCTTCGCTTTTTTGTTCTATTTCTCTTTCTGTATTATTTTATTTGATTCAAATCGTTTATTTTTGTTGTTCCAGAACTATCGGTTGGTGACGAGGAATCATCGTATGGCAAGTGGTAGACGGCTATTGAAAAGTTGATGGATACCTGCCGAGGTGTAGGCAAATAGATAGCAGACAACGCTACAAGCAGCAGAATTCATATGCACGTATACTCTGTGCTATAAGTGCCGAGAAGAAGTAAGAAATATCATTTTAAGTCTAAGTAGACTTTCATGTCGACAAAAAATAAATAATTTACACCACATATTTAAATAAATTTTTTGGTATTCATACAAAAGTTGGGTCTGTGGGATCGTCCTTAAAACGCTTGTGTACTGATATCCAGGTTTAGAGAAGCCTTGAAATGATTTTTTATCAATTTTTTGTCGCAAAGAGATCTAGTTCTGGAGTTTACTCGTTTAAACACCGAAAATTACAAAACTTCAATAAACCCAAAAAGAGTTAAGTGTTGTAAAACTATGTTTGTTCATCCGAAAACTTGATTTTATTGATCGAAATTTAAATTTTTCTCATAACCAGCCTTAAATACGTTTTGTTCTTGTATTTGTTTAAGGGAAAGTATCTTGAACACTCACAAAGAGAAAACTTGGTAGTTGTTTACAGACATAAAATGAAACTTTGTGACATAACTTACATGTACTATAAAATATGTAAGGTTCCAGTAAAGAGTTCTTTGTTGAAACTCGATACTCGATACTCCTAAGTCCCGAGAAGTCGAGAGTACTAGATAAACCTCTCCTAGCACATTTTAGACCTAAAAATGCTCTCCTTAAAGTCCATCATCTGTTCGACATCAAACAAATCGAAATTTTCGAGGGGAAACTCAGTAAGACAGCTAAATAATCTGAAAGTCACAACTATATATTCCATTTCGTAACGAAACTTTTTGCTCAGAATTTGTTCGCACATTGTACACAAGTTCCAGGTAACTGGCGTAGACAGTTTTCGAGACACATAGCCGGACATAGACACATTCACGTAGGCGGCAAAATACAATAAATCAATAAAAATAAATATCAAGAAATAGAAATGGAAAGAAAAAGAAATCTAAAAGGTAGCTAAAAGAATGCCAGACTAAGAAAGAGTATGAGTGGACAACTAAGACTATCTAAGTGACTGCTCGTTGCGGCTTGTTTTGCTGGCTGCTCGGCTCGGCCGCTCAGCGCTTGATTGACTGACTATGTCTACACAGTTTACATACATACATATAAGCGAGTTTGTGCTGTGGTTTGGCATGGCATTTCGGAATTGTCATGACGTGACGGAACACATCCCCATCAACACGACAACGGCGCCCGCAACAACAAGAACAACAGCAACAAAATGACAAAATGTTATAAACACAAACACACAAATTGGTTGAGTGAAAGAAGCCAACAACGTTTGAATGCAACAACAAATAGTAAGACACAAAACAGCACAGCAGTCGGACGGACGCAGAGACATTCAATGGTGTGGCAGATATCATGGTTAGGTCGCGTCGGTTCTTTCCGTATGAGTTCAAAGTAAGCGTATGTATATATGTACATAGGTGTGTATGATATGTAGATATGTCTGGCTTTGGGTTTCCAAATAAACGCTGGAAAGTAGAAACGCTGACTCAAATCGAGCTCACTTTGACCATTGGCTGCTAACTGCTTTGGCTGTCAGAACGTCTACATACAAACATACATACCTAAGCATATGAGTATAAGTGCATGTGGTTGTGTATGATTATGTGTGTTGACGTTTGTACTCTGCTTGTTGGCCAAACTAACTGTACGACAAACAGTCTGCCGTTGGATGCATGTCCAGCACTCGTCGAAAATTAAATATGGTAAATATGTACATTTGTACCTTTGTATGTAGATACATAATGAATGACGACAAATAAATGTAAATAACAAGAAATTAAAAGAATAAAAAGTATTGGAGCAATGTGTGAAAGCGCGTCGGAGAGAAAACCAGAACAGATAATCGCAGCTAAATGGAAACAAGCATAAGTTCACATTAAAGTGAAATTACTTAAATCAAGTGTGTGCATATTTTTATATATGTATATCCAAAGGTAAAAAAATTATTAATTTATAATCGGTTTCTTCTGAGACCGAAGATGAAAGTTCCGTTTGAAAGCAAAGCGATGCAAACTTATTATCTTCAATAGAATTTTATTATTTCTTAGATTACTTGATTTCACATGAGTGAAATAGAGAGAGAGATAGATGAAAAGCGAAAGAGTTTGTTGAAGAAAATCTTATGAGACCCTTAAAATATATGAGAGATGACAAATTAAAGTATTTCAGAAGTCTAATATGCAGAAGAGTCTGAACTGAGTATACTTTGAGAGCAGTATAATTCGTTCCACGATAAAATCAATACCTTTGAAAAACTGTCTGTTTGTCTATGAAATATGAATCGAGAAAGGTTGCTAGCTTTGTCAAAAAAATTAATATAGAACATGGACTAACTATTTTTGTTTACCTCTCTTCTTTCGCCACATCAATAGTATTTAGTTCGGAGTTTCTTTGGTTATGACAACGAGGCAAATATGGAGCAATATAAAGGTAATGTTTTTAAATTGCTTTATTCTACTTTTTTATTTTGAGAACATAAATGCTTTTATATTAGCTTTCTGAACTACATATATACATACACTCTGGAATAATTCTAAAATATGTCGTTTTGTTATCTTTGTATTAAGTCATATCTTTTGTACGCAAGTTGCATGTGGCAAGGTTATAAATCAATCAATATTTGACAAAGTGTTAAAACTGTTAAAATCAATCGTACAGACTGTGCTTAACATATTATGTAGATATGTAAATAGGTTTATGTGTGAAAATGTCAGTAGTAGCAGTGGAGTATAGCATTAGGGTGCGGCAGTGTTTACGAAAACCAAAAAAAAATTCCCACAACGAGAAACGAAACAATACAAATAGAGGAAATACGGGAAAAGTAACTGTCTTTGTTTAAAATTTAATGAGTTTGTGGCTAAACACTTATTTTATTTAAATGTGTGTTATGTTTTATATCCTTTATTTTTAAAAAAGTTTTGTCATATTTGGAGATTAATTCAAGAAAGACGTTTCCGAAGACAATGCATCAAGAGAGTCGCTACAAAATCTTGATCTCCCAGATTTATTTTCGGGTTTTATTAATTTTTGTCATATATATTTTTGAAGGTTTTTACAAATAAATAATATTTCTTACAAGCGCACATACTTGCTCTCTTGAAATACAAACAGTTGATGAGATGCTGAATTAAAAATTATGGCATAAAAAAGTGGGGGATTTTAAAAAAGGTAGCCGATTTTTAAGGCATAAGTCATTATTTTCTTTCATCATTTTTTAATATATTTGAAAGAAAGAAGTTCTTAAAAGTCATTAAGAGCCAACTTTTCAGCAATTAACTGCTCCACCCTAATATATATGCATACATAAGCATAACTGAGCTGTGCATTTCCAAATCTTTTTTATTGTCAAATAAGTCAAAATGGTATGATCGAATGATTTTGTATTTTATTACTAATTTTATTAGCATGCGAGAAATTAATCGTAACACTGATTTATTGCTCCTACTTAATTGAGATGAAAATTTTAAATGTTTATAGTTCGCAGAAGGACAGCAACATTGAATTGGTTTTTGAAACACAATAGTGATCTTTTGATAATGGCAAATATTTGGTTGAAAGTTGAGCGAAATGAATCTGCTAGAGATTTAAAAAACATGCTCAAAAAGTAGAGGGGCAATGATAAATCAGATCTTATAGATTTAAATACATATGTAATGCATTACAACTGATGATATACTGATTCTTGGAATTGTGGAATTGTGATATCACATCAAATTAAGCTAAATTAGATGCACTTAAAAATATAAATTACTAAATTGCAAAAGTTTAAACAAAGAGATTACACATCGTTCGCCTTTGTAACATGAAAAACAAGCAATCTAAAATAATTTATACACACATATATATGCATATACAATATTAAAAACAAATAGAAACTCATGTGTCACACATAACGAAATGGAAAAGTACTGCGAAGACAATAAATTATCAATGGCAAAACACTATCACAGCTAACCACAACTAACCACAACTTGAAAGAGCAAGTCCACATTCGACTGTAAAGTACTCAAGTACTTGTATAATCGTTGTATTTCCCACAGTATATTACAGCGCCTAATTGGTACGCCGAGCTGATGGGGCGCTAGCCGAGGAGGCACTTGTGCCACTTCAAAGCGCTAGATAAGTAAATTTTTATTTTCCTGCACTATCTATTACTTACCGCAGTCATTTTGCCAGCTGTGTGTATCCACTTGTATGTATGTAGGTATGTATAGGCATTTGTGTTGCTTATCTGTGATGCAAGCAGCTGCTAACAAAGCGAATATTTCGTTGACCGCCGAAGACAAACATTGCGATGAATAATTTTGTAACTAGTTACGAATTAGTCTGCGGAACAGTTGAGTGGATTGTAACTGAAAGTGATGTAAAGTGGGGTTATGTAGAGTTATATCGTCAAACTAGATATCTCAAATCACTTTTTTGCAATAGGTATTATGAAGCAATGTGCCTTAAATATATAAATTTTAAAAAGCACTATTTTCAACAAAAAAATTCTTACATTTTCAGTTTTGTCTCAAATTGGCTACCAGACAATTATTTCAAAAAATACTAAGCCTCATTAGACGACTATCATTTCAGAAACTTGCCATTTTTCTACTGGGTTACGTCGCTTATCAGCTGAAACGTGATATATGTCGGTGCATATAATTATTTGTTTACTCAAGCTGATAGCTGCTATATCTGTGTCTGCGGCTAAGCGCCTTTAAGTCGCAGAACACAATGAAAAATTCTAAATTTATATACCTTTATATAATTCATATAATTTTAAAAATATATTGTTGAATGATAATTGCTTCTTGGTGGTCAACGCTTTACACTTGTTCAGATGTATGTTAGCCTTGTGCGCAAATGAAGATATACGATATTTATTGCTTTATGGCGTTATCTTTTTAATTGCTTGTGTTAGACTGATAAGGGCCTATGCGGTCGCACTTGACACTTTTATCCGTTAGACGAGTGTGATAGTGGTTGGGTTTTTTTTCTACAGTTAGAATAAATAATTTACTTTTTTATGATATTGTAGTTTAAAATATATTTTGATTAATTTTTAAGTAAAATATATTTCTTTTAAGAAATAAGCCTCTAAGCATGTATTTTAAAACTTTTTTTGTTGATATGATAATTTCAACAGATTTCTTATGTTCTCCAGAATCAATTGTCACGAAGGCTATTGATTTCTACTAAATGTAGAGTTTATTATCCATAACGCTTTCTTAAAGTCGGCTGTCACACCATATATAGACTTATTGGGCCTTAGTAATGCCAAATGGAGGTTCAGTTTACAGCTCTCTCATGCATACTTCCCTGCACTTTCTGCAGAAGGTTGTGACCATTAATTAGGGTAACAACCGTCCTGCAGTCCATTTGTACCCGTGTGAGTAAAAAGGCCCTAAGGCAATCCATCTCACCCTGATCCTTCGGGATTTTTATTAGGTATTGTTTTCAGCGACTTAAGTGTTTCCTGTATTATTTCGGTAGCCAGACGGATAAAACTTTTGGCAATTTCATCAGCCATTTCGTTTCCGTATTGGCTTAGTTCGTGCCGCTTTCCGGCATCTACTGCCTCCCTGCTTCTAAGGACATTCTCTGACGTAATACGACGTGAGATTATTGCCCTAATTGCTGCCTGACAATCGACCTATACATTGATCTTCTTTATGTTGTTTCCTGAGTTGAGATCCAGCTCCGCGCAATAGATTCCCGCGCCCACTCTATTAGCTATTTTTTATCCATCTGTATAGATGTTGCAAGCTGGCGAGTCGTATGCTATTGCGCCCTCCCCCTTTTAGGCTTGACTATTTTTTTCAACCTTTTCGCAATTTCCGACAGCATATTCATTGCGTACCAAACGATTATCAAATTCTCATCCCGTTAGATGTTTTGAAGTACAAATGACAGCTAAATACGTTTGTCCGTGACGTCATGAAACGAAAAAGCGTGAATTGTTTTTTGAAATTAATTTATCGAAATTTGTCAGTTAGCTTCATGCTGTCAGCGTATGCGGCACGAATTCAGGATTCCATCAATCTTTAAGCACATTTTATGCCTAGTTGAAATTATTTAAGTTGTTCTCATATTTGGTGGTGGCCATATCAGTCAAGTTTCTTGAAAAGAGTCAAGATTATAAAGAAGTCAGGTGTCCAGGATATATGGAACCAACTCTTATGGAGTCTTGAGTCACGCTTGTAAAAGAGGTAGAATTAAGGATCAACTTTAAGCGGCTGTAAGCTTGACCCTACTTTCTAACGAGTGTCGCAATTTTTTGCATTTTTGTGACTGTGAATTTTTTGCAGTGACTTCAGATACCAAATCTATAAAGTCAGCTTATGAATCGAATATCTGGCATAAGTAGATTACTTAAGAATGTCAAGTGATTTCGGAAAATTAATGTTTCGTGGGTGTAGGAAATCCTTAGATCTACTATCTAGTCTAATTGGGTAAGAGAGCATTGACTGATTTGAAATTACTATTTAAAATCTCTTAACTTATTAAATAGTTAATAATAGTCAAATACAAAATCTCAGAAGAAATATAATGATGATGACAGACTTAAAAACTTTTCTGTTTTGTTTTAATTAAGCTAAACCGTGCTGAGATGAGATATTTGGGGAAAAATAAATACATTTAATAAATAAAATGAAAAGCCCAACAACAACTACAGTGCTCACATTAATTTCAACGCTCATAAAAACTTGGCAACTTTCGCCATTGCAAGCCGATCGCAATCCCACTTTACGCCTCACAAACACATCATTGCTGATGCTGCTCATTTTAAATTTTTTATTTATTTTTGCAATGCATTGCATTTGTAGTTGTTGTTGGAGTTGGCGATGATGTTTGTTGATTTTTGCAATTGCCTCTGCGGCAGCTGTTGCCATTTTGCAGCCGCTATTAAAATTGATTTTTCACCAATTTATTCCCTTTTGCCAGGCGAGGAGCAGTGAGCGTGCAATCGACCGCGCCTGCACGAAAACAATGATATCTATGAGCAGCAGCAATGTGCAACAACGTGCAACAACACTGGCAGCGGCGTCGGTCATAAAATGTGATTTTCCCTTTCGCTATTTAAGGGGGGCAAAAAGAAAGTCAGCACTGAAAATAACGAAAAAGATTTGTTTACTTTTCTCCTCTGGTGTTGCACACATATAACGGTGTATTGTTGTTGCTGTTACCGATGCTAGTTGCCATAACGGCAGCTAATCATAGCAGCAGGCAGCAAGTAATTTGTAGCGTGTGGTTGTGTGCGGCGGCAGTCGCGTGTGTACAACAATAACAATTGCTGCAACAACACTAACATCAAGACCAACATGTTGCTAGTGTTACTCGCAGTGGCAAACGGTATTTTTAGTTTCAACAATTTTCCTTGTTCATTTTTTGAGGGAAATCTGAGTGTGGCACAGTCTTTTTGCGGCAAGAGTCGAAATTTTCGCATTTACCGTTGTTTACTTAGCGAAAATGAAATTGCTTTTGGTGAATTGGCGGGTGCGGGTGTTTTGACGAGCGCATTCGCTTGTTGTACGTTGTTGACTTGATGTGGTTGTTGTTGTTGGCGGTTCATTATGTGCGCTGCAACAATTAGCCGTAATTTATAGCCAATTACGCGCAAGCGCGGCCATTTGGTGTGCACGGAGAGCGTTGCTTGCCACTTGGCGGCACAACTGACCGCTCGCTGTTGGCCAACAAGTATTAGGTCGTTGCGGTCAGTCGTCGCCAGTTGAGGCTTGACGTTGCATGTGTCATTGCCATGACGTGTTGTTGTCTGCGGCAATGTGATCCGCTAAGCTTGTCAAACACTCTTAACTTGCGGGTGAAAGTTTTTTTGGCCACTTTTACTGGTATTTCTTTGACATTTGTTACATTTGACTACATTCCGCTGCTCAAAATAGCTATAAAACAGTTCCTCTAACAAAATGCAACATTCAATAAAGTACCGACAAAGTTCGGGCGAAATTATAAGCTGCCTGCTAATATTTATACTAAGACTAATAACGGAAAGACAAGTCCGTTCGATAACAAATATAAATTACTCTCATGAACTATAACATATTTGTAGTTTATCGATCTGTCTCCAAAAATGAATTATAAATAATCTTTTGATGCGGATGGAATTCAAATAATTTCATTCAGTATACCCAGGCTTAGAAACCTATGCTGAACATACATATCAAGGCAGTACTAAAATGTATTTCAGTAGCTCAATAGACTTGATATTCCGGATAGAAGAGTTGGCAATGTGACACCAAATTTTGTAATCGCTCCCTAATAAAGACCACTATATCATCTATTTTATCTACTATATGCTTTGGGTGTTATTCATTAGAAATTTGAAGATGTCCGTTATCTTCGGATTTTAACTATATGCAAACAGTTGCACAAGGCTCTAAAATATATTGTTTTCGCAGACCATTACTGAGTTTATAGATATGCTTAGTATTCGACTTAAGGGTCTAACTGCTTCCAATTTTCAAAAACTGCAAATCTAAATAAAAAAGATTTTTTTAGAGATGGTGTTCAAGAAATAATAGAAAGCACATAGTTTAATGTTATGGCAAAGATTTAAGCTCTATTATAAAGATAAAGGCTTACCAATATATTTTAAAAATTATTTCAGATAAATGACCGCCACGGCTGGTGTGCATTAATTCCAGCCGAGAGATCCACTCTTCGACCACTTTTTGTAGCTATTTAGGCCGTATGTCAGCAAAAACACACTGAATATTCTCTTCAAAGGCATCAATCCTCTCGAGCTTATCTGCGTAGACAAGCGCCTTTACATAAACCCACAAAAAATAGTTTAGCGGTGTTAAATCACACGATCTTGAAGGCCACGTCACAGGCCCATGTCGCTCAGCAAAAGTCTCCTTAAATAAATTTACTGTTTCGTTAGCTGTTTGGCATGTAGCGCCGTTTTTTTGGAGCCAAATGTCTGCATCAACATCTTACAATTCAGGCACAAAACAGTCATTAATCATGACTCTATAGCGTTACACATTGACCGTAATATTTTGGCCCATTTCATTTTTGAAGAAATATGGACCAAAGATTACCTTTGCCTATAGAGCATACAAAGCAGTGTCTCTTTGAGGTTGTTACGGCCTCTCGACAATGGCTTGTGGATTATTACCACTCCAAATGCGACAATTTTCTTTATTAACGTACCCATTCAACTACATAAAAGTGAGCTTCATCGCTGGACAAAATCGGTATCATCGGCCATCTCGTTTTGGTAATACATTTGGAGTAGGTCTGCTCATTGTGAAGTGGCAAACCAAACTGAGTATTAATTAAGTAACAGCTGTCAAAACGACCAACTCCGAAAAAAGTATTGCTTCATTGAAAATTACACGTCTAATAAAACACCCGTTATTTCATCTACTGTGCCAATTTTAATCAGGCTATCCATTATCCAAAGGATATCCAGAAATCGATTGGTCTTGTATATATGCATTTGGATAGCCATATTTAACCCTAAAACCATATTTCTACAATAAATTAAAACAATTTCAAAACCACTGTGTTCAAGATAAAAAATACTAGTCATGATCAGAGCGCTGATGAATTTTTATGACCTAAATAAATAATTATGTATGTGCATGAGACTGTCTTCATGTCTTTGAT